TTGAAGGGGAAAACACTTCCAGCTGGTCTTGGTTCCTAGGTTGTATTCGAGATCGTGTCACGCAACGGGATGGCCTTTGTGTTATTTCTGATCGGCATCCTGGGATCATTGCAGCAATGAATGATCCCAATGTTGGATTCACCCAGCCCCGAGCGTATCACAGGTTTTGTGTCCGCCACATAGCCTCTAACTTGAAGACTCACGTGCGAAGTAACGACATGAGAGACATGTTCAAGGCCGTTGCGTACCAAAGGCAAGAAAGAAAACTTCAAGTTGATTTGTGTTTCATTGGTGAGGCCTGTCCCAAGGCCATTGAGTACATTGCTCAAGTCTCGTTCCCTATGTGGTCTCTGTTTCACGACAGTGGTCGCAGGTATGGTATATGTACTACTAACTTCTCGGAGACATTCAACTTCTCGGAGACGTTCCCAACCAAATGCAGCCGTTGTCACCAGCAAGGTCACAACCGCACTACTTGTCCATCTAGACCAACATAGGACCTAAGTGTATATGTGTTATTTGATATAGTAGTATGTAGTGGTGTTATTTTGATGAAACAGTTATAATTTTCTACATTATGTGTTATTGTGTTCAATTCGATGAATTTTATTTTGTACGTTGGATGTTCGAGATTTCCTGTTTATGCCTTTCAATCGAAATTAGTATTCAATATATTGTGTTAGTGTTTGGTGTGTAACGTTTTCAATGAACAGATATCATGGACGTACAGGATAGGACACCCGGACTTGTTGACCCTTTTGTCCTGACACTACAGGACACCCATCGGAGCGTCGACGTATGGAACCTGACGGTAATGATTCATCTTTAACGTTTTTGGATTCTTTGATGTACAATCTTTTGTTACTTATAAATGCTCCTGTGTTTTCGGGGTGACGTAGCGAAGCCACTACAGTGCAGGCACTACAGGACCCCATGGGTTGTCCATGATCGCTGCCTTGAGTACGTGACGTACGCTGGCTTTGGCGGTGTACATCGCTTGGGATTCAGGGAGATCGACCGACACCTTGTCACGGCGTTAGTGGAGAGATGGAGGCAGGAGACGCACTCCTTCCACCTACCAGTTGGGGAGGCGACTGTGACATTGCGGGACGTGGCAATACTTACGCGCCTTCCAGTACAGGGGACTGCGGTGACGGGATCATTTCTAGTCGATCCCGTTGGATTGGTTGTGCGGGTTCTCGGGGTGCAGCCGGGTCCCAACGATGTTAGGGGCTCCGCCTTGAGGACGGTCTGGTTACGAGATACTTTCCAGGGCTTTCCTGCGGAGGCCGATGACGCCACAGTACAGAGATACGCTCGAGCGTACTTGTTCTTCCTCATATCCGGCGTGTTGTTCGGCAACAAGAGCGGGAGCCACTTGCAGCTTATTTACCTACAACTGTTGGACCACGACTGGGAGCATATCCGTGGATACAGCTGGGGTAGTGCCTCTTTGGCGGTGTTGTATCGCCAACTTTGCAGAGCCTCACGGAGTGGTGCGCTCGAGATTTGTGGACCTCTATTTGTGCTTCAGGTATACTACGTATATTATCACAAGCGAATTATGCAATGAGTAATGTCATATTTAACATAGTTTTGTGTTTTGCTATTGAAGCTATGGGCTTGGGAGCACATCCATGTAGGAAGACCAGGTAGGCCTGCTGTACATCGTCCGGGGCAGCAGGACCAGGATGACCAGTATGAGCCGTACATCGCTCCGCCTCGCCCTGCAGCTGATGAGGCTTACGGTTGCAGGTTTGTAACATGTGTCATTTTTTTTCCCATATACGATTTCATTTTGTAAACATACTTACCAAATTTGTTGCCCCAGGTGGATGGTCCCCAAACTCACACAGGCACATGCGGCGACGGGTCTTCCATACTACCGAGACGCCCTTGATCGACTCACTGAGGATCAGGTACAAACTCTGAAGACATTTGTAATCATTTAGGTACTGTGTATACTGATTGTGGACTAACTTATTTAGGATGTGTTATTGCAGATCACATGGGATCCGTATGTACTGGAGTTGGTAGATGTCATGCCTGCACATCTACTGGAGCATCAGGGAGAGTGGCGTGCCCGGGTCCCCCTGATCTGTTTCGAGGTTGTGGAGAGTCACCTACCTGACCGCGTCATGCGACAGTTCGGACTGCAACAGCTTATTCCCCAGAACTGTGACACTGTCGTGCGCCTTCACGACATTGACCGTCAGGGAAAGACGGAGACAAACTGGGCACTGGAGCATTGGCAGTATCTTCAGCTATGGGAGCAGCGGTTGGGTCATGTCGTTCAGGGTTATCCCATGCAGGGCGTTATGGATCATGACGATCCGTACATGGTGTGGTACAGGCTTATCACACGCCGTTTCATCAACCCTAGCTACACACCACCGTCCACCCATTACCACCCGGCACATGACGTCATTAGCGGATATGTGAGTTCCTTTTACTATACTTATCATCCTCATTTTTTAACTTTTTTAAATATCATGTACTTGACTGATCGATGATTACTACAGGCGGCGGATATGGTGGCGATGTATGATGCACTGTCCCTCGCCCTTACAAACAGACCCACCAGAGCCCAGGTCCAGCGGATGCGAGATATGTCCGCGACTTCCTTACGCAGACATGGTCACGATCATCTCATCCAACAGCGGGACGGTGATGATGGTCACTCCATCCATTCGCGGTTCGACCCCGGCCAGAGTAGCAGTGGAGGTGATCCTACGTCGCACACAGAGGCAGAGGAGTACATCTTCCACAGTTCTGCACCCTTCAGAACCCAGGAGGACGCATCGTCCAGCCAGCTCACTCCCCCCCCCGCGCCGGAACCCATTCACCACCATTCACCATTACACTCGGCGTCGTCCAAGACGAAGGGACGACAGTGAGGCTAGGGAAGGGTTACACCAAATTGATGAGTAGTGAACGTATTGTATCATTGTTTTGTCCTTTTTCCTGGAATGTTGTATATAACGATTGCATTATCAATATAAGACATGCTGGTTGAATGAATCTGTTTGTGTTTTGAAGTTTTGTTTGCTTATTTATCCAAATCGGATTTATGTCAGTCAAAATAGATCCTTCAGGGCTAATGTACGTTAAACAACAAACATTTGGAATCCATAGTCGAAAATGGGGAAGAAAGGATGGCCCGTGGTGGTTAATGTGGTTGTTCATGGTGGTTTTAGTGTTGTTGGTTGTGGTGGGTGGTTATCGACGGTTGTTGAATGGTTGGGGTTGGTGGTGGAGCTGGTTGAAGTGTTGTTGGAGGTCAAAAGTGGTGGCAGATGGTGGTCGATGGTGGGGGTTGTTGGTGGATTGTGGTGGCAAGAATCATGGCAGGGGGTGGTGGGTGGGGGCAGAAGAAAGTGGCAGATCAGTGGCAAAAGGCTGATTCTGCTGCTGTTTTGCACACCAGCAGAGAAACACTGTCCCAGACAGCGTTTTAGGTTGAAAATAAGACGCTGTCTGAGACAGCGTTTTAGGTACAAAGAAGTTTGTACATAAAGCGCTGTGTGGGACAGCGTCTTTGGTATAACTGTTTTTGTTTTTTAAAAACATTTTTATAAATAAAAGGCAATTACAAAAATTTAAAAAAAACGATAGAAACGCTGTCCCAGACAGCGTTTTTAGGTTGATTTTTTTTTTTAAAAAAAAAACCAGGCATAAAACGCTGAGCGAGACAGCGTTTTAGTCTGGAAGCTTAGTTTGGTAAATACTTTTGCCACGGACCATTTTGGTTAATATTTGCCAAAATTGGCTCACTTTGGAAAAACGTCCTAATGCGCATGATGAACGTACATAACTAGCCATGTGTGGAAAATAGGTTAAAAAGTAAAAATGTCCGCATTATTTATAAGGATCATCTCAAAATTTTTAAAAGATAGGGAAAAAAAAAAAACTACGTTGATAAAAAAAAATACCACGTATGTGATTCGCATGCATAAATAGGGGTGTATATGTAAATAGACATTTTTAGGGATATAATTGGCATAACACCATTCATAAGCGTTTAGTTAAACTTTTATAAAGGTAGGGAAGAGTTACGACCTTATTTTTACTTATTTGATTTGATTGTCTGATTCTTCTAAGTTTTGACATTATGTGTATGGTAATTGGAGTAATACGGAGTTGTGGCATTATGTGTATGATATCAAGTAGAGTAATATGTGTTTTCATAATTTTTTTATTTAATAATTAAAGATATTTAACGATAAAAAATTGCACATAAAACGACAAAGGGCGTTAGAATTTTTTTTTTTTAATCTGATAAGTAAAAATAAGGTGAAATTAACCTGGCCTCATGTGAGCGTGGGGTATTCGAGTGTACAAACACATCATATACTCATAAGTAGTTAAGTACGAAATATGTAGCTTTAACTACGAAGTATTTTTGTTAAAGGGATTATATTTTTGTTAAAGGGATTATACAGTAATATACACTCATCTTATTTAAAGGGTTGTTTTTTCTCTAAAGTTGCCCAACATGTTGCATTTTTTATAAAGAAAATACACTTCTATGAAAATAATTACGAGTATTTTGGCTGAACTAAAGAGAATCCCAAAACAGCATATCTAAAAGTTGATTCAATTCCCATTTACCTTTAGGTTGTATAATGCATGAGGATGTAATAGACGTGGCAATGGCACGTCTGATCCCCAAGCTTTTCCTCTTTTTTCTTTTTTTTTTTTTTTTTTGAAGCACCCCTTAGCTTTTCCTAATTGTTAATTTTCTTTCGGGGCCTAACCCCTCTTGCACCCAATAAAAATGAAAAATTATCTTTGGACAGAATCTATCGTCTTAATACCTCGTCAACAAGATGTTTTTTTAGAATTATTATTGAAAAAAGAATTAATTTGAATATATTTGAAATAACTTCATAAATTATTCCATACAAATTTGTTTTTAGTATTAATTCACTTTCGACTAAAATGTTTGTGACATTATATGATTTTGATCGATCTAACACACATTAACCAATAAATTATTGTTTAATTAGTGGTCTTGAGTTGGTGGCTATAGCCTTATAGCCGTTATAGGCATTAGGTAACCTTGTTACGAGTCTTACGACTTACAAGTACTATGATAAAAAAAAAAAAAAAAAAAAACAGGTTGCACAACATACTGCATCTGATACAATTGAGCTCATAAAGTTAGCCAAGAGTACAAGCAATTTCGTCGACAATATGAAGAATGTGAACTTTCATAGTTTCATGTGACTTTTGAACAAGTCCAACCTAGTTCTCTGCCTGTGAACTTCCATAGATTTCACTGATGAATACCCATACAAGAATTACACCATGCACTAAATAATAACATAATTATTCTCCAATTCAGAATCATAGCTCAGCTGAAATTTAATTGACTTCTCCCTCTCTGTTAAGTGCAAATCCATTCTGTTTTACTTCTTTAACATTCAAGATGGAAGAGGTCCTTGACCAATGCCGTAAAAACCTTCAGGCCCTCAGGCATTTCAATTCAGAATTGCATTGCAGTATCAATAAGAAAACAAGTGCGAAACAAAACAAGGGAGCTGGATTGTAATAAAAACTTTCTGCTCTTGGAATGCCATAGTTAGAAAAGTAAAACTTGCAGCTTTCGGAATCAAGCAAGAGATTTGATTAACAAGTTAAAGGCTTTCACATTGCTAATAAGGTATTCGCAAAGTGATAATTCTTTTTTACATATGGGCATCTAATCTTAATATGCAAACATTGAATGATGGCTCATTTGTACAACCATCATTCAAGAAAACAATTCCCACCGCCTACAGTAAAACTAACACTCAAAAACTGAGGCTGCTAACATATCCCAATTCCAGGAAGATCTAAAAATCAAAATTCCCCAAAAAAAAAAAAAAAAAAAAACTAAAACCTCAAACAAACTAAATGGATGAAAGATCCTCGTAAATAGTCTTGATACCTGGTCTCTCTGAAACTGAGCGTATACATCGTAAAGCAATTCCAAGTACCTCCTTTGACCCCTTGTCTACAGTAGGATTTCCCATTTCTGTAGTCAGGACAGAATCGAAGCAATCAGAGCCCCGTCCTTCAGCAACTCTCAACCGAACCCAATCTGTCAAATCAACACCTCCCCCTTCACCAGAGACAACTTCGCCAGCACATCTTCCAGTCAACAATTCCAACAATACAACTCCGAAGGCAAAAACATCAGACTTGAAAGACGGAAGTGGTTTCTTAGAAGCAGCCAATTCTGGAGCCCGGTATCCTAATACACCAGCATCGAGGATTTGTTCAATTGTTCCAGCTTGAGTCATGAGGCGATGAAGACAGTAATCTGCGACTCGTGCATTGAGCTCAGGACCATCCAATAATATGTTGTTTGCTTTTAGATTACCATGAGGAAGAGCTCGATCAAAATGGAGATAGTTCAGACCACGAGCAACATCTACTGCAATCTTTAGTCTCTGTGGCCAAGTTAATGGTGGACCTTTTCTCCCTGGTCGATCTAAAAAAAAAGTAGTAATTAATAATGCAGCATATAACAGAGATACTATGAACAGCAATTATGAGTTACCATGTACAACTATGCATAAGCTTGAAGATGTCTAAGCAAATAGAAGTATTGCATATTTATTCAAGAGAAAAATATAAGCAGCAATGAATATGAGCATAATTGTAGATTGTAGATCTACCCGAACACATGTTCCATTCAGAATAATAAAATTTTCAAAGGTAGTAGATCTTCATACAGCAAGACCTTATGCATCTCCATCGGACTCAATTACCTGAACATTTTTTCATCACATATAGACACCACATACATTCCAGAAAGTGAAGGGCAAAATGAGGAAAAAGATGCCAACGCATAAATGTAACCTTATACAACTCCCAAAAGTTTACCTTCATCAAAAACAGCGCCCATTTACATATAAGTTTAAGCATGTCAATCAAATAAACTTATAGAACCCGAAGTCAAGCAATCATATGCAACATACTAAGTCAAACCTGGCAACAAATGCAATTATGTTCTATCGTAAGAAGAAAGAAAATGCATGCCACAGTGAAAATAAGAGAGCTAAAATACGCAGGTAAAAATCATATGATTGAATTTTTTTTTTTTTTTTTTTTAATCTATAAAGTTCCAGATTTTCATATCTGATATTCCTCTTTCCCGTTAGGGAGTTAAACTCATTTTCAAACAGATACAGAAGAGAGCACAAGTTATTACCATAAAGAAAGCTTGCAAGACTTCCAGGTGAGACATAATCTGAAAGAATGAGCTTCTCATGCTGGGTAGGTCCCCAATAGTACCCTCGTAATGCAACAACATTTGGATGCCTGATATTCGCAAATTTCTTAGCCTCCTTCGAAAAGTCTTTCTTTGGTTTTGCAACACCTTCTCTTAGCCACTTCACGGTTAAGAACATACCATTTTCTAACGTGGCTCTATAAGACGTTCCATGACTGCTACGACCCAAAACCTCTGCCGGAGCTTTTGACAGCTCCTCGGGTGTCAAAGATACTGTATCATCAAGAAAATACAACTCACCAGCTAGCCGATCAGGTGATCTAACATCAAGTTTGGATAGACTCTCTGCAGCAAAAGAATCTCCAGATTCCGGTGACCAAGATAATTGGCTAGTTTTAGATGGAGAGAAACCTGTTACAGCAGCTGCTTTCTCATCAGGACTCATTATCTCAGATGAGGATCCTTTCCTGGTAGTGGTGATTATGTCCTCAGCTGAAACAACCAAATTCTGGGGATTTTCCCTCCCACCAATGCCTGTGGGATTTGGTGGCATCTTCCTATGGACATCTCTCTTAGTAACATCTTCTGATAGAGGTCTCTTAGAGATACGAATATAATGTATGAAGATGGCAAGCAAAATCAAAATGAAAAAGACCACCACACATGCAACAATAATTATCACTTTGATCAGGGTCTTCATTGATTTCCTCTTGGAGTTTCCACCAGAACTTTCTGGTCCAGGAGGCGCATTGGGAAGTTGTAGCTTAGAATTTCCAGGGTAGAAAGATGAACGGGGAAATACCCTCAAATTCTCTGGAACAACCCCAGAGAGGTCATTATATGATGCATTAAAGCTTTGAAGGTTGCTAGACAGGTTAGTAGGCAAAGAACCAGTAAAGTGGTTCTCAGATAGATCTAAAGAAGTCAGCGAACTCATATCATTCATAGAAGTCGGTAGTGAACCTGAAATATTATTTTTAGCAAGATTAAGCACCTCCAGACCAGTCAGCGACCCAAATCTGTCTGGAAAGTAGCCACCCAAATGATTATCAGCAAGATCAAGCACTCGAAGATCAGACTGGCGTGGGGGAGGAGAGAATTCAATACTTCCAACAAAAGAGTTGCCAGCGAGATGTAATTCTTGCAAGGTTGTCATAGTTAACAAATCACTCTGAAGAGGTCCATCCAACTTATTGAAACTTAGGTCCAGGACACTAAGCTTTGGGAATTGAGTCACAACTTTTGGGAGACGGCTACTAAGGGAATTATGGGAAAGATTGAGATAGTTTAGATGCAAAAACTGAGATGTCGTCTCAGGAACAGGACCTGTTAAACGATTTTGGCTGAGATCAAGGAATTCAATGTTTCCCCATTTTGCCATTTTTGACAAGTTCCCTTGAATTTGATTCTTTGATAAATCAAGGACAGCACAGTCTCCAGTCAACAGTGGCAGTTCACCAGACAGACCATTTGAAGACAGATTAAGTGTCCGCAGCGTAGTAGACATGATGATGCCAATTGAACCTGAGAGACAATAATGACAGTGAGAGAACAGAAGTTATATCAACATATATTTTCTTTAGCAGAAGTTGATTAGCATTCTTATTACATGTATTAAAAGGCAATTATGAGTTAAATCTTAAAGTAACGGATTATGAACCTAAGGATTACTAAAGCAAAAGTTAGATATAGAATAGTACCTGTGAGATTGTTGCCACTCAAATCCAACTCAGTAAGAAGTACAGGATCTCCTTTCAGCAAATCATTAGGAACAAACCCGGAAAACCTGTTGTTGCTCAATCTGAGGACCTCAAGATCATAAACAAAATTGAATTCAGGCAAATCTCCCGAAAACATATTGTAACTCAAATCCAAAACCTTCAGGTTCTCAAAGAGCTGAGTTTGACCAATTAGCGATCCAGTAAGCCTGTTGTGGCTGAGATTCAGATACTTAACAGACTCGGACACGCCAGCCAAGAATTTCTCCTTCTTCGAACCAGAATTCTCAAGTTGGTTATTACTCAAATCGACATGCATAGCACTAGAGAATAGCAAGAACTCATAATCAAGATCTCCATCAAGCATATTTCCATGCAAGTCAAGCACCTCAAGACTTGAAAGCAATTCAAATCCTTTTGGAATCTTCTTTTGGAACTCATTATCAGATAGATTTAGATAAACCAAACTTCCTAGCTTAGTCAATGAAGCAGGCAACGGACCAGACAAGGAGTTCCGGCTCAAATCAAGAGACTCAAGTGAAGTGAGTCCCGAAATAGAATCAGGAATTGGTCCGGAGATGTTGTTTCCAGAACATGTAAGGTTCTGCAAGCTAGCCAAACTACCAATTGCTGATGGTAAAGAGCCGGCAAACAGATTGTTTGAGATATCCAAATACTGAAGCTTATCAAATGAGCCTATATTACTAGGGATATTGCCACTTATGGAATTATTTGCCATTGAAAGTTTAACCAACATGGTAAGATTAGCAAATACACTCAAGTCTGCCGCTGCAGACAGACCCAAGTTATCAAGAACAACACCGGCAACGTGCCCGCCATTACAAACAATCCCATTCCAAGAAGACGGACACCCATTGAAGTCAATGGACTCCTCATTCCATGAATTCAATACATAACCAGTAGGGTCATGCTTAATACCCTTCTTAAATTGAAGCAATGCTATAATATCCGGCGACGGAAGCTGACCCATTGTAGAAACCATATATAGACACATCAAAACTAACCTAAAAAGCCTCATCATTCTACCTCCACACCACTAAGCTAAATTTTCACCTGAAATTGTAAATAAAAATTATACTCAAATTCCTCACATTTTCTGACATTATATTATACAACCAAACATTGCATTATTTCAAACCCTATTCATCAAAAAACAATCTACAAATTGCAATAAGTTAAATGCAACTATCAAAGATCTATAACAAAATCCAAATCCAACCATAAAATAAAAATAATATACAATAAAATAAAAAGAACAGCAAAGGGGTAATTCTTTCTTACCAGAACAGAAGCTTTTGAGCCAAAAAACAATCAAAAAGATCAACAAACTTGCAACTTCTTCAAACTTCCCACATTTGGTGAAAATAACCCAGAAATCTCTGTGCTGTCAAAAGAAAAGCATTTAGAAAATAAAAATAAATAAACATTGAAAAAAAAAACCAGAAATCTCAACTAAAAAATGCCACTAACCCAGAAAAAAGTAGACACTAATGTGGGTAGCAATCAACACCAGCATTGAATTAAATACAAGGGACCCATGAAGAAAAAAATTAGCCCTTAATTACCACATTTACAGCACTTAACACTAATAAAGCTTTAATCTTTCTGCAAAGTTGAGTAATCAAAGGAATACCCAGAAAAACCCCACAAAAAAATTTCAAAACCCTTTTTCCAAAATGTCACTTTCTCTCTCCTTAAGTATCAAAAAACTAAACCAAAGTTATAATGAGGTAAGAAAGAGAAGCCCACAAAACAAACAAGAAATGAGAAACCCTAACAATTTCTTTTGTCATTCCTTTTGATGGGTACTACTTTGTTTTTTTTTTTGTTTTTTTTTTTTGTTGATTTATTTTTTTTGTCAGCGGGAAACTTTTTTCAAGAAATATAATGGATTTTTCACTTTTCTCCCCGCCAAAAAGTGAAGACACAAGAACAGCTTAGTGGACGCCAAATGATTTTGTTAAATGCAGTTTATGGAGGGAGGAAGAAAGGGCACTTTTCGGAAATTGAGCTTTTGTGGGTGCATGCAGTGGAGGGTAGGGACCAGTGTAGTGTTGCCACGTACTATAAACTACTTCGTATTTTCTTTACGGTTTTTTAGTACTGGTATAAGTAGTATCGCACTCTTTCCAATTTTTATTAAATATTTGCTTCATTTCTCCCTCCGCGGAAAAATTAATAAAATATGGAGAGAGTAATAAAATAAAAAATTGTAAAAATATAGAGGTAGTGTGGGGTAGGTGAAAAAATAAAAAATTGTAAAAAGCAAAGTAATATTGAGAATTAAAAGAGGGAGAATATGAAATTAATAAAATATGATTTATGTTGAGTCCACTAAACCACTAGGTGAGAGAAATGAATTAAATATTGTAAAAGCTTTCCAAATAAGAAAATGAAGCAAGTATTTTAAAATAGCCGGAAATGAAAAATGAAGCGAGCATTTAAAAATGGAGAAAGTAAAGAAAAACATCATCATATCGGATCAAAATCCCACACGGGTAATTACAATACCACTTGTCTTAACACTTATCGAGCATTCGAGCACTTCATAGTTCATATTAAGTTAGTTCAATCAGGCCATTAGAAGTTGGAAGCAAGGAGAGTGTTGGTGGTAAGATATTAGTAAATCCGTATTCTTAAAAACCATATTTAGTTCACCTTATTTTTGCTTATCTGAACTGGTCTTATCTGATCTGATTTGGTCTAATCTAATCTGATTTGACCAAATCAAATCTTAAGTGTACGATAATCTGTAAGGAAAAACTATATCAACTGGGATCTTGTTAGATTTGTAATAATGTGTATTTTATTAATATGTAATTTTCGTAATTTTTTCCATCGCGAAATTAAAGATATTTAGCGATAAAAAATTGCACATGAAACGATAAATATGATCAGAACTTATTTAATCTAATCTGATCTAATCAAAACTTATTTTTTTTAAAATAAAAAAATAAGTTGAACTAAACAAGGCCAAAGTGTCCCTAGTATGAAGTGGCGGAGCCCGTTATTTTCGTGCCCTTTGACTAGGGTAAAGCATTGACCATATAGGTCTTGTTATTACATGTAACTGCTACATGGTAAGGATGGTATGGACAAATAACAATGGATGTATATGTATGATATGTATGGTAGGGTAGGAGAATTGTTTTGATGTTTACAACTTTATTTACATAACTGCTTGTCTTGCTTAGTATAAATGGGAGGTGAGTTTGGTGAGTGAGTGTGTTTATGACGTTAGTGAATTCATACCAATTATGATGGATTTTAGTCATGCATATAAAGGACGAAAAAAAGGAAAACTAATGACAAAATCTTTAGGTTTATGATTTAATAGTACTTTTTGGCAGGAACAATTTAATTGATGTCGATAGGTCATTAATTTCACTCTATTGCTAATGCATACAGTATCTTTCTTTAGTTACATTTTGTAAGAGATAATACAATAATGGAGGTCTAATGATGGTTGATGGGTTAAGATTTTTGATTAAGATTAAACCAACTAATGTACGAAGTAACTCTTACAGCAAGTCAACTATAAAACATAATCACTTTTAAGTAATTCTTCTATAACCCTTTAAAAGTTAGAACGATAATATTTTTGGTGGGAAAAGTTGGACATGAGTCGGACCAAAATTAGGGCAGTTTAAACTTGGCATGAAATTTGTCAAATCTAACACGACTTAATTGTAAGTCTAGCAGTTTACTGCATAATGAGAGAAATAGTAATGGGTCATGGTCGTGTATGGAGATCAGTTTTGAAATTTGGCACAAGCTCGACACAAGCATAATGGTTAGCCAATTCACTTTATTTCAACTAATTACCAAAATATCTTAAAATTATTAAGGTGATTCGTTAGTAGTACAGCACGACAAATGGGTCGAGTTATGCATGAATCTCATTTGTCCAGGAACACCACAAGCTCGACGTACACACGACCTATCCTAATCCCATTTCAAGCCAGTTGTGCCCAATCAAATTGATAGGTCATACTCAAAAAATAAAATTAATACATGTATCCAACATGCTTAAAGTGAGAATGGCACTAAACAAAGGCTAGCAAAGGTGGTGTTTAAGGAGGATGAAATCACGGCGGTATGACGAGGATAGTAACTAATTAAATATCATCGTCTTTCTCGGCCTCTTTCTCATGTCACAAGGTTGTCATATACCAATACCTTATTATCTTCTATATTCTCATTGGCTCGTTCTATGTAGAGCTAGGACAGTTTTTTTATGCATATTGTAAGAAAATTATTTATAGTGATTACTTATATTTTAAGTCGTTTACAATTGTTGACACATTAGTTGAGGTTAGAGATTAAACAAAAACAACCTTGCATGCAACAAGTGCATGTAATAAGGGGAAATGTGACCTATGTGACAATAACTAGTAAAATAAGTGTACAAGACAACACCAATTACAATAATGATCGTACTTAATGGCATATTGTTATGAATTTCACTAGTTGAGTTGGTGAAAAAGAGAGTGATATTATGTATATACTCGTAACATGTACAACTTATAAGGAGAGAAATGGTGAGTTGTTTTTTGTTTTTTTTTAAAGAGGAGAGGAACATTGAGATGGTGTAAGTTTACACAACCAACAATTAATAAAGTAAACATACATTATGGGGCAAAAATAAAGGGATGGAAGGAGTACTTGATATTCCCTATGCTTCTTTTTAGTTGACCTTCTTTTTTAGTCACATTTACCAATATGCAAATTTAGTCACTGACATATTTTTGATGATTGACAAACAAAGATTTTTTTTAAAATAAAAAAAAAAAGATTTTGAAATTGTAAATTGAAAGTTCCAAAAAAATAAACCTTACATGACAATATTTTTCATTAAGTATAATGTATATAAATCATAAAAATGATCAAATTAAAGCATGTGAAAATTACTAAAAATTTAAATCACTTCAACTAAAAAAAAGTAGATAAAGTAAACATACTCCGACGAATCTTAATTTGAGCTAAGACACGAGAGATTGTTATATACACCCAGGTACATCGTACACCCATAAGTATTTTGTTCTCATTTTAATGATTGTTTTTCATTTAATAATCAAATGAAAAACAAGATTAGTTGGGTGTACGGTACACCCGAATATATATAATAAATTATACCAAAACATCATAGAAAGTTCTCTCAAACAAGTGTTGGATGTAATCCTATGGCTCATAATAGATTACTAGATGATCCAACTTCCAAACATTCGTTAGATTAGATCATGAAAAACAGACCCAAAGCCCATTTCGAAGGCTCTAACGGTCCAACCCAAACCCGTCATTGCGCACACCTTCCTCCTGCAAAAGCAAAGGCAAAGGCAAGACCATCTCACAAGTTTCAACGGCATTCTCTTTCTCCTTCTTTCTATAATAATCAACGAGGTACAACCTTTGCCTCCCACATTTCTGAAATTGTAGTATTTCTGATGATGTATTTTCAGTTTACTGTAGCATAGATTAATCCTAAATTGCTCAATTTAGTCATTTAATTTAAATTCTTTGATTGCATATTTGCATGTACCAACTTTTTTTTCATTACTTCCTGGGATATTTATTGATGAATTTCTTGATTTTGACTGTTTGTTTTGATTGGTTTAAGTGTTTAATTAAAAACCCTTTTTAGGAATTGGGGTGTTTGTTTATATTTGGTTCAGAAATTGGAGTATAGATGATTTTGTTGGGTGGGGGCACAATGTATGGTACATTCGGGTGTGTAATAGAAATTGCGCGGCCATGAGTTAGACCCGAAATTGATATTGATTTGAACTGTATTGTTATTATTTTATTAGTATTTGGAAATAATGATTTCAATAATGTAGGACTATGTTGACATTGAGGTGATTGTTTTTGGCTTTGTATGTGGGTTGTGTTCAAGACTTGAGTTGATTCATCAGTGAGTGATTGACTGCTACTAGAAGAAGTTTTAATAGTAGAGGAGTGATTTTGATGATGTCGTCTTGGAAGGCGAGTTCCAGTAGTGGGACTGCTACGAATCCGAAGCGAGCCTTGCCTTCTTGGATGAGTGCAAGAGACGATGGAATTGGTGATAAACAAGTTAATGATAGGGTGGATGATGACAGTCAAGTGGAAAGTTTGCAGAAAAGAGCAAGGGAGGTAGGCAAAGGAGTGAATGATGATGGTGAGGAGAAATTATCTTCTGTTGGTCCAAATAAAATGGAGTTCTCTAAGCTTTTGGTAAGCTTACATTTATGTTTAGAGCTTAGATTTGTTTATATTCTCATATGATGCAGTTTTAGGTGTGAAAGTAAATGATTATTTGGTTTTAATTTGGACAGGAAGGGGTGGTTTTTGCTCTGTCAGGCTTTGTTAATCCTGAACGAGGTATATTGCGGTCACAAGCCTTAGAAATGGGGGCAGAATATCAGCAGGACTGGAATTCTAATTGCACTCTTTTGGTTTGTGCATTTCGGAATACCCCGAAGTTTCGACAAGTTGAAGCAGATGGTGGAACAATTGTTTCCAAGGTTTACACCTTTCTATTGTGTTGGTTCATCTTGCTTGTATTGCCTTTTAGCATGTTTTATTATATGTGAAAGTCGGGCTTTTTTCCGTTGCCTTGTTATGTCAGTGGTCTTGTTAAGGGGTAAATGTCAATAAGTGAAAGACGTTATGCTTTTTTCCCTTTGAATTACTGCCTTGGAAGGAGCTAATCCTGTCTTTTAGATGGTTGCTTGTGCTATCTTCTCACTTCTAGTCCTATTACAATTTGCCTACATGTGGTTGTGGACTTGTGGTGGTGCTGTAGCAGGTTATTCTAAAAAAAAACCTTGTTAACACGTCACATCTTGATCAGGAAAAGGTAATCAGGAAGATTGGGGGAAGGAAACTTGTACCTTCACTTGAAGTTGATCTGTTTTCTCTGTCAATCATAGAATCACAGCCATCAATCGTAGAATCACACTCAACTTAATTGATTGAACAAGGTGATTAATAATGAATTTATGGAATACTTTTCAAACTCTTTATGTCTTGTAAGGAAAACTCTTTAATTTACATGACTTAGAGGCACAGGACCTCACAACTCGCAAGAGTCAATAAATCAAAGCATTTAAGTTTCATAGGGTAAGGAATAGAAATGGAAAATAGATGAACTAAAATACATAATTGTGAGATGATCGTAATACATCTAATCAGGGTGATGCAAATCTTTGTTTCCTGATGGTTCTTGCAGTGTTCAATATTAATGTGTTACTCCCTCTGCCCCTAATAAACTTCCCATTTTTCACAAAATATTTGTACTAAACTTCCCATTTCTCAAAAATTCATTTTGATTAAAGTGTTGTTTTCAGTCTTCTTATCTTCCCACTTTGGGTCCCTATTTTTTATCACCTTCCCTTAAAACAATAAACTCTACCCACTCTTTTATAATTGCTCTTCTTAAAACCCATGCCCATAAGAGTTGGGATTTTGAATGAGGACACAGGTAGATTATGTGATGTTCTCACTATTACTTTCGTTTAATTAATAATCTTAATTCTAAACAAGTTGTTAATCTTATATGCTCCAGTGTGTTTATTTTTAGGACTGGTTAACAGAGTGTTACACCCAGAAGAAGCTGGTTGACATTGAAACTTATCTTATGCATGTTGGTAATCCTTGGAGGAAAAGCAACATAACTCATACAGGAAACCAAGGTACTATGAATTCCTCTTCTTCTAAGGATATTAGGTAAAGAACTAAAACTTGAGATGGTAGGAAAGATTGGGTGCTGAAAAATTCTATTATAATAGCTCAAAAATACTCTGCATATTCAGAATGTAAGACTTTTGACTGTCGTCCTATTGTTTACTTTGCTCTTGTCTATGCTTGCTTTATTAAGGGGAGGATTTTGCTTTTTATGTGCATGATTCAGCTTAGATAAGCTTTTGTGCCTGTGTGGAGTTGTTTTTTATTTTTAAATGGGGGATCGGGGTTGCAACTTGAAATTGTTTGTTTATGATGAAGCTATAATGTACAGTTGAGTGGTGATGGAAAGTTGAAGTTATAATGTACAGTTGAGTGTTTACTTTAGGGTATGAAAACATATAAACTGTAGGCTTTGACAACATGCCTGTAAAGTGTAAACCTGTCCTGTTTGAGAGCAACGGTTTTTTCTCGTGGAGTGATTAAGTAGTCGTTTCTATTTAAAGGCGTTCTGATCAACTTATATGAAATGCTGCCACTGTTAAGTTTTCCATTTTTTTTATGCTCCTTCCCTCAGACTGGTCTTAAATTTTCCCAGTCATTTAGTGGTGAATGTTCCTTAAACTTTAGACTTCACATAGCCTTGTAGAGAATTTGGAAAGAGGGTGTGAAGCATTGGGATTTCCGGCATTGAGGACTACATGAAGATTGTGTTTCCATAATTTATGCTAGTGATCTTCTTATCTAGCCCCCTCTTATCTATAGCTATAGACTACTATAATTAAGTGATCACATAAATGAGTACACTGACTATACGTGTAAGTGTCAGCTAATGTGAAATAAGAGTCCAATCTAGGTTGTGGAGTTGGAAGGGCCTTTTGCTGCACCCCAGCTGCTTGAGATTTGCTGAGACAAGAACTTTAATTTTGTGGCTAGCCTTTTCTTGGGCTCTTCCGTCGAGGCTGAACTTAAAGCTGCACTGGAGACATAGGTGCCCATTGCAAAGTATGGAACTTGAGTTACACATCGGTCATATGGGGGGGCTGATGTGGGATTCATATAGGGCTATGGGCTCTCCTCCCTAGAGCTAGCTTTTGAGGATGATTCTCCTTTGGTCCTGTATCTCCCATGTACTAATACGCTTTCTAGGGAATTGGGATAGAAAATTACAGCATCCTGCATATGAAATTTTCTAAACCTTGCTAGGAACAGAATCCTCATTGGCTACCACTTTCTGTTTGTTGCTGTGTTATTTGCTTGTGCTATTTTTCTTTCCCTAGTTCTTCCTAAGATGAGTTTGCATAACCATTATGGAATATTTTTCTAATTCATCAGAGCATTTGATGTTATGGACTTATGGGTCATCCATAAATGAATTGTTTCATTTGTTGCTTCCTATAATCAGTAGGCAGTTCCAACAATCTTGTAGAAGCTTATAATGCCTTTTTCCTGATTGAACTGCAGCTTGATGCTCCTTGACTAGTGTGCACTTCTGGGGGCTAATATTCTGTTTGCTTGCAGTTTCTAAAAAATCCCAACATAATAAATCTCGTAATCATGAAGTGAAACGACCTGAAGTTGAGTCTAGTATTCCCAGCTCACCAAAGGTTAGTCATACAAGTTCTAGCTGCTGTTCTGTTCACAGTTTCTTGACAATGCTGGCATGTATTATTTGCATGTAATGCCTGCTTGCTAGGCTTCAGGCAGCACGTGAACATATGCTTTCAGTTACATTGGTCAAATGTCTTTCCATTGCTGCAGGGATTGAGAGAAAATGCATCAAAAGGTCTTAGAGAAAAATTTGCTGCTTCCAAGGTGAAGAAATGGGCAGTTGATGATTTGAACAGGACTCTCACATGGCTCAAAAGTCAGGAAGAGAAGGTACATTAATTTGCTTTTAATGTAGTTTAGAAATCAAAGCAATTATTTATTTATTTTTAATTTGGGTCCGTGGGGGGATAAGATTGGGACTAATTTCTGCAAGACACTTCAGTCTTCACTTGGACACCTCAACTATCTTGGACCATGTATTACTGTATTATTGGAGTAAATATAAAATATCAGAGGGAAAGAGGAGGAAAATTATATGCTCGTGAATGGGTCAGCCATTAGATTTCTAGCAAAATTAGCAAATATGTCAACCTATTTGTGCTTGTGTAGATGTAATGGTGGAAAGCACATGCCAACGTGTTCTAGATCAGGAATTGTTTCATGAATGCCGTATGACACTGACATGTCCCTGTACTTGTGTCCAAAGTTTAGGGTCGTTTCTCCATGTCCAGATTGCTGTAGTGCATCAGGTATAAAGGAAAGGACTTTGGGAAATGTAAATAAGTCAGTTATAGACTTATAGTAGGTTGGGGAAGGCTCAGTGAGTTTGTTAGAGGGAAAGGAAATCAGCAGGCTATATATAGAGTGGATTAGATAGGAAGGAAATATGCAGAAAATTGTTGAGAACATATATTACTTTGCTTGGTTTTGTAGTGGGATTGTCCAGCTGGAATGTGTAGGATTGTAGCTACCATTTGGTGATATGATTGCATCAAATTACAATCAAGTGAATCAACTATCAATTTACCCTTAAAATCACTTGTTCTTTGTTTATGTTTTTCTGTTTATCTATTGTATTGCAACTCTTGAACATTAACTTGTTAGTGACTGCGATAGGTAGACATACTTAACACTTGTAAATGTATCTGGGTAACATTGTTCAGATATATTTCCACCTTTCAAAGCTTTAAAGTACAGTATGTATGATATCCCCTATACTTCGGGTACAACTACAACAGTGTTATTTATTTAGTTTTATTATGCTCACCCTTCTTCTTCTTCTTCTTTTTTTTTTTTTTTTTTTTTTTTTTTGGGGGGGGGGGGGGGGGGCGGGGGGGATTGTTGGGGGTAGATTTCACATGATACCCCTAAACTTTTATAAAATTTTCAAGATAATCTTCATGTCTAGCTTTGTGCACTGTATACCCCTAAACTTGTGAATTATGCCCCCCCTTTTCTTCCACCGAACTGTATAGTTTTAACACTATAATCTTTCTGTCTGCTTAAGGTGAAAAAAGAACCTGATATAATTATTTTCCACCTTAGATTAAGCATGCATGTCCCATTAATAACCAAACATATAGATTTTATCAGTGCCATGTGCTGGCATGAGCCTGGTTTGGGAAGCGATGTAGTGTCAAGCAATCCTTTTAATTTAAAGTAAAAAAGTTGCACTGGAAGTGATTTTTTCTGCAGGTGCTCAACATTAGGGAATAAGAACCGCATAATTTGAAATTCAATATGAGGATCAATTGGTCATACATATCACATTGGGCTGATAAACTACAAAAATCTCTTTCTGAGGGTGCAATAAGGTAGCAGAGGTTCTTTGTATCGTTTTGAGTGTTCATAATGTGCCGTCATGATGTTATAGCTAATAAGTTTGGGGGTTTTAGATCTTTAAAAGTCAAATGTAAGCTAGATAGTCAGACAGAATTCTCAAAAATAGCAATAATGTTGAGGAAATTTTCCCTTTTACACGCTAATAACCCCAAGCGAGAATCTTTTGTTTTTCTATCCACAACTGCTGAACTGCCCAGACAAATATACGAATATACGTGTTGTGTTTGAATCGTGTCTTTACTGTGACTGGGCAGATATCATCTTTTTTCAGTAACTGGTTTTAATATACTGTTTACCTTTCAGCCTGAGCCTAGTGAGATAAGGAACGTAGCTGCTGAAGGAATCTTGACCTGTTTAGAGGATGCCATAGACTTGCTTGACAAAGAGCAGGTATGCATAGCTTGCTGTGTGAAAGATTCAGCAAATTCAATAGTTCTTGCTGCATTGCAAACCAGAAAGCGTCACATTTATTGCTATATTATTTCCTCTTATTGGTCTTACCACTGTGGTTTTCTGTTTAATTTCGGAGTCCAGGATTTACGGCACTTGACTGAGCAGTGGAACATCGTCCCTCAGGCAGTTGAAGAATTGATAGAAGTGCAGGGTGCTGAAAGTTCTTTCTCAATTTCCAAGGCTGATCTTCACAAGCAGGCTCTTGTGTGTAAGAAGATCTACGAGGGTGACCTGAAGGAGATGCCTGATGGTTCAAGCGAGAAGAACAGAGAACAAAAGTCTACCAGCCGTAATACAGGAAAAGGCAAACAGGTCGTCTCAGCTGATGACATAGCTAGTAACTCAATGGATTATGATAGTGATGAAACAATTGAGATGACAGAAGATGAGATAAATGATGCTTACAATAGTATAGCTTCCAATATACCTAGATTATAAAGGACCTTAAATCGTGTATATGACACTAAAGGATATTGTTGTTTTCTACTTGTGGACTTCTGGTGTCATATACACTATTGTGTAGCATGCCAACTCTGTGCATTGAAACTTGTTCTAATTGGTGTATATGGACGTTGTTAGTGATTAAAAACAATATGAAAAAAAAAAGCTGACTGGAAAGGTAATCTCTCTATCCCACATTTAAAAATTCATTTTTAGATTTACCTATGATGGACGTACTATATTCAACCTTTTATAACTTTTACGCATAGGAAAATGAAAATATTTACATTTTAAGGCGCTTCTTGTTGACTTGGGATGTAATATCTTTACCCCATATCTTAGAATATATACTTCCTTTGTTCTACAAATATTGCAACACAAATGAAATTACGCATCCCAAAACATATTTTATATGTTAAATACCTATAGTTGTATAAGAGTAAAAATCATAAAAAGTTGATATTGTGAAAGTATTTTACGAGACGAATCTAACAAGACCCCACATGACTATATTTTACTTTACGTATAAATTATAATTTGTGATCAAACAACCATGATGAATATGCAAAAGTTCAGTTGTTGCAATATTATTAGAATGGAGGAAGTATGATATTACCAATTATGAATCTACCAATGATGGATGTCCTATACATTCAAGTAGTAAGAGACTAAGAGTGAAACTAATGAGTGTTTATGGAGATGCCTTGGGAGGTTCTACATCACTCTGCATTTTTAACCTGATGAAAAGAAAAGTCTATTAATGTTCATGTTAAAATAGTCTAATTGTTTGGCTCTACTTCTACTTCCGTTACATTTCTAAAATCATCATATGCCTTAGTACCTTTTGTTTCGGGTGAAAACAATGGGACCTTGCCGAAGGTCCGCTGAAATGGAGAAGACTGGATTCGGTCCAAGTTATGTTGGGCCGAAGGTTTCCTGCACAGTAAACACACGTAAACTAGCCTCGGGGGTGTTGCCGAGGAAGGCCCCTCCGATGCTAAAGTCAGTACAATGTGTAAAAGGAAGACACTATGCAAGAGAGTTTGTAGCTTGAGGCTTTTGTGGAATATATCTGAATATGAACGTCAATGTATGAATGTGTCAATATGATGGCTTTTATACCTCATCATACATGGTGAGGTTGGGCCTTAGCCCAATTGGCATGCTTTGTGGGCTGACCTTTGACTTTTGTGCAATTGGAGAGTTGAACCTTGACCTTGGGCTTTTAATTGGATCATTTAGTGCTTAGGCCCAATTTTGACTAAATTGGACCCAAACAACTTGCCCCCCAGACCCGATTTGGAAGGATGACGGGTCGGGTTTGATTTAATTCAGAAAAGGAGGGAAGTAAATGATTTAATTGATCCAAAAATTTGAATTTAAACCGTAATTAATGAGATAACAACGGTTAATGATTGCGGAAGTTGGACGGATAATGGGCAGTTTAATCACAAGATCATGTGTTTAATGGTTACTTAGTGGGTATTTAAGAGAAATTAAAGCACAGACTCTTCGTATCCCGTACCTGGAGATATAAACAGAGGCGCGTCATTCTCCTCACTTATTCACCAACACAAACCCAGAATTCCTCGAGAGAGAAACCAAGAACCCGCATCAAAACTTCGCAAATTCCCCGAGCATTGAGCTTAGAAACTGAGACTTGCCACTACGAACTCGTAAATCGGCAACTTTCGCTTCAGATTAAGGTAAATTCCTTTGATTTCAGTTTATTTTTCTTCGAATTCGAACTCCTTCCCCTTTTCTTTCGACTTTTCTCTTCGAAATAATCAATGGCAAGAGGAGTTAGAGGTAGAGCCCGTGCTCCAAGAAGAGCAAGGCCGATTCCCGATCCTAGGAACAGGATTGGGACCTGGAATGGTCAAAGGCCGGAGTCTGACCCTGCTGAAGGGATTAGGGCGACTCCCCTTTCCTCGGCTCCTCCTCAAAGAACGGATGAGCCGAGCGCTTCTGGACGGGATGATGAAGTTCCCGCTGTCCCTTGGGATATCCTCCCTGGGTTTTCAGAATGGGAGAATGCCGAAGTCGTTTCGGCCATGATAAAGAATCGCCCCTACTCATGGTGGGTAGAGAACGCCGATCAATATCGATTTGCCGAGCAAATTGAGTTGCATTACGGCATTTTTGAAGCTGATGGATATTGGTGCCGAATGCCCTCAGCATCCGATAGAATCCATCGTCCACCCCCAGGGTATGTGGGGGTGTACACGAGACAGCTTCAGTACGGGCTGAGGTTCCCTTTGGACGTTTTCGTCCGAGACTTGCTGATCCATTACAACATCTCCCTATGTCAGCTAACCCCCACCAGCATCCGAAGGGTGATGACATACTTATGGGTCTGCAAGTTCTTCAAGTACGTGCCGAACCTGCACTGCTTCAAAAAGCTCCATCGGCTAGTGCCAAATATTCAAAGTGGGCACGAAAGCCATGGTTCTGGGTGGTACCGGATTGAGTCCCGGCCCCAATACTTGACCATGTGGCCAAACGACTCTTCAGACAAGGACTGGAGAGGTCAATGGATTTGGGTTAGGGCACCCACAGATCCGGGCCACCCTTGCGTCTTCAGCGCTCCCCGGTACTTAGCTGAGCCTGATCCCGAAATGGGAAGTCTAGGTCCCCCCGCAGATAACGGGGCGGATCCGAACCTGGATCAGCAACATATCTTCGGCAAGCTGCCGAACCCGGGGGGGAGTGGTCGAATGCAGCATATCCCGGAGACTTGGCTCCCCGATACGCATTACGTTTTCCAAGAGAACATGCTAGCAGCTGTTGGCCTCAGCCGAAAGTTTAAGGATGGTAAGCTTCTTCGGCTGGGGCCGAGGCTTTTTAACTACCTCTTTTTCTTCTCTCGCTTTGCTTTTTTTTATGCTGTGCCGATCTATCTGAGCTAAACTTTCCCCTTTCCTTTTTTCAGAGCGGGACGAGACCAACGTTGGCATTAACTACGCTCGTCTTGGTGTCAACCGAGAGCGAGTTGTAACTGAACGGGCCCCGTCTATCACTGAGCCGAGGCATAGGGAAGTTCATCTAGACTCTTCCCACTTCCAAATTGAGGCTGTTGCTCTGTATCAGAGGCAGAAGCCTTGGTGGAAGAAGAGAGACCCTTGGTTTCAGCTGCTGAACGAAGAAGCTGAAGCGGCCCGCACAGCCGAAGAGGTTGCACGGGTACTTGAGGCTTGCGAAGGAGGAGAAGGGTCCTCCAGAGCTGCTGAAGCCGAAGCTGCAGCTAGAGCAGCTGAAGAAGACGAGGCTTTGCTGAAGACCTCGGTGAGCTTTCAGACAACTTTTTCTTTTTTCTTTTCTTTTTTCTTTTTTCTTTTCTTTTTTCTTTTTTTCTTTTTTTTTTACTCACATTCTTCTTCCCCCCTGTCTGTTACAGTCTGAAGAGAGTAACAGACACAGAGAAGGCAAAGCTCCTGTTCGTCCCGAAGACCAAATACAAGAGTCTTCAGACTCAGATATGGACGAGCAGCCCCTTCTGAAAAGGCGCCGAAGGATGGCCATCATCGGCCCTCATGACTTTCAGCAGAGGCCGATGACCATCGGCGTCGCAATAAGGGAACCTGAGGAAGGCAACGGATCGCCGAGGGTTCCCCAGCCAACACCCCAATCACCTCAAAAGACCCCTCCGCCACCTCCTGAGATGGAGGTGGATCAGAGAACTCCCGAACCTAAGGGAGGGGTCCAAGAAGAAATCAAGAAGAGTGCTGATGAGCACGAAAATAAGGATGCCGTGATGTCCAGCGCTGAGGGCTTCACGGCAGACATCGCAAGAGAGGTTGAGGCTTTCGTCCTCACCCCTGAAGAAGAGGAGGTCATAGTAATTGACTCCTCTGAGAAGGATGATGCTGAGACAACCAAAGCTAATCAAGCTCCATCGTCATCCTTCCCTTCTTTCCAGACTCTGCATTCTGGAGAAATGGGTTTCTCGGCCCCCCGAATTCCAATCCCAGACCACATCTGGGACCTCATATGGGGTCAAAACCGAGAAGGAGCTGCAGCCTACTTCGGCAATTTTGCTGGCATGTCCGAAGTAGACAGGGCAAGGATCTGGTCGCTGAAGGCCACTGCTGGGATGGGCGAATCCAGCAGATCAGTTCCTGACCCAGCCAGGTCTAACCAACTGCTGATGATGCAGGTAATTTTCCTTGTCTTCATTTCCTCCGAAATTCAGCTTTATATATATATATTTTTTTTATTATTTATTTATTTTTGTCTTCCTGTTTTCAGTTCGTGCACAATCAGACTCTCACTGTAGAGCTGATAGATACCCTACAAGATAGGGTAGACGCTGCTGTGCACGACAAGAAGGTGGCTGAAGAGGAAGTAAAGCTTGCTAAGCTGAAGCAAGCAGCAGCTGAAGAGAAGCAGCAGGAGGTTGAGGAGTACGGGAAAAAAGCTGCCGAAGCCCTGAAAACCTTCTGCGATGCTATGGAGAAGGAAGTTTTTCCCCCACTGATGGAAGGGGAAAAATTCCTCCAGGAGCATATGGGAGTGGACGTCTCCAAATTCAAGGCTGCTGTTGAGAGCCGAATTCAAGAAGGAACTGCTGCACAAGCTGAAGTGCAGCAGCGTCTAGAGGCTCTTGAAGCCAGCCGAATGGCTGCTGAAGAGTTGCTCCTGGCCAAAGACGTCCAACTCTCAAAGGCTGCTGCTGCTGCTGAAGCCCAAAGAGCTAAATTCCAAGAGGCTGAGGATCAACTGCTGATCCAGAAAGTTGAAGTGGCCCAAGCTCAGACAAAGGCTTTCCAAATTCAGCAAGAGCTGAATGAGCTGAAAGGTTCCTCCTCCAAGGTCGCTGATGAGCTGAAGAAATCCAAGGAAGACTTGGAGGAGACCCAGAAGAAGCTGGCTGATGCTGAGGCTTTACTCAAAGTCCGTGTTTATACCCAAGAGGAATATGAGATGGGTTTCAGAAACGGATTCCGAGTTTGCCGAAGAGTCTGCCTTCATGCTGAGCCGAAGCTGGACTGGTCTAAATGTGCTGAGTGGGTCCAGAATCCCGAAGACCCTCACATGAAGTATGCAACTCCAGCCGAAGCTGAAATTCTTAAGGCTGAGGAAGCCGAAGAGGAAGCTGAGAGACTGGAGTTGGAAGCTGAGCAGAGGGAAAGGGAGGCTCGGCAAAGTGCAAAGCCCGCTTCTTCTGCTGCTGGGGC